CCCCAAAACCCCAAAACCCCAAAACCCCTGCTTACATTAATTTATAAAAAGAGACCAATGTATAATTTTGAAATAAGAAATAAAAATATGGCTTCGACCTACAATTTGAAGTTCTTGGAATAAGAACATAATGATGTTAAGTTCCTCAAGAGAGATGATATAGGAATAGTCATCTCCAGAGCTCTTAGTGAAACTTACTTGACTCAACCAAGTAAACCAATAGAATTCTTCGCAAAGTATTTATTGAATCACTCCAAAACCTAAAAGAAAGCTTAAGCTGTAACGTTAAATCAAAATTTATCAATATTTGCATAGGAAAGAGATAGACAAAAGCAAGTCAAAGAGCTAAGATAAAGAAATGAGTACTTTGTCATGGCAAAGAAAGCAGAGGTAAGATTCAACATTCAATCTTATATGCATAGGTAGAAGAGAAAGCCAAAGAGTAAAGATAGCTGGAAAGTAAAAAAGGCAAATTTTATGATCTTTTAAACAAGAGCCCTGATCTTTCAGATAATTTAGATGAATTAGCAGACTTCTTGCACGAATTCACAGGAGCAACTGGTGTTTATATTGGGAAGCTTATACAGCCTAGAAAATAAATATCTGATGATGATGACGACAAGGCTCATATTGATAGTGAAAATCCAAAAGTGATATGGTACATTCATTCTTCAAAAGGTCATGATATGTTGAGAGGGAAGATTCTTAAACACGATTAGGGTGTAACTCATGCTGTATTCAACCCTCCTAAATAAGAAGAGGATAACTAAGTAGATGATGAGGGTAATCCAATTCAGGCTAAACCAAAATCTTTGGATTTCTTGGATCTAAATCATCACGTGTATGTTAAAGAGGTAGTAAGGGAACCTAAGATGCATTTCTATTAGGTTCCAAGGCTTGGATCGTATCTCGCTATTCCTTTAGTGTATAACTCTTGCATGTTCGAGGATGCTCTTGATAATGCTGTTTCTGACTATTTTGCAGTCTAAAAAGCTAAAGAGGAGCAAGACAAGGCTAGAAATGATTATGAAGAAGAATAAAGTAAAATTAGAGATGAAAAGGAAAAGATCGGAGAAGCCTATGAACCACCTGAAAATAGGGAATGGGAACAAATAAATCAAAGACCATTTCAAACCTTTTAAGAGTCTTATGTAGTTTGCCTTGATACTCTTGGTCAAGACAGAGAATTTACTAGAGAGTAAAGAGAATTCGCAATTTAAACAGTTAATAACTTCAAACAAATCTGGGAAAATACAGAGTTTGAAAATCTCACAAAGGATAGAAACAGAAAGATTAAGATCATGGAAATTGACAAGGAATTTATTGATTCGGAGAGCTAAAAGCTGATTGAAGAGGAGGAAAAGCATATTGAAGAAATCCTATAGTCATATGCAGTTGAAGGCTAACAGCTTGATGAAGAGTTAAAAGATCTTTATTAGAAGTCAACTAGATTAAGTTTCATTGCTAAACTATTTAAAGAGAGAATTGAGTGGTAAAAGAATCTGAAGAGACTCTCAAAGTTTAAGGTCTTAAAGATGCCAAGAGTGATGCAAAGCATATTCTATTTCCTTTAATACCAGAGAGAGGAGATATGTGAAAAGGGAACTAACAAGTTTTTCTGGAAGAAAGCAAAATCACTCATTAATGACCAGTTTTATGATAGACTAGTTAATTACACAGTTCTTGGTTGCAAAGAAGACCATCAACCAAGATACACTACATTGAATTTCATTGAAAAAAATATTGAAGGTATTGTTCCAGAAGATGTAGACCATTATAACATGACTCTAGGCAAATTGTTCAAATGGCTTCATTTGGCAATTAGAACTAGAAAAGATGATATTGTTAGAAGAAAAGCTTTGAAGAAAAGAGCAAGGGAACACAGAGAAGCTTTGATAGAACAAGCAAGAAAAAGAGAAGAGCAGCATGTTAATGATCTTAAGGACGCCAGATAGAAATTTTTGGATGATCACAGAGATGAGATTGAAGCTTTCAACAGATATCAATAAGAGCTATAAGAGAAAGGAGGAGTAGAAGAATAAGATGAGAATGAAGAGGCTGAGAAAAAGCAAATCCCACAACTTCCAGTTTTTAATGAAGGTGACTGGGAAGCATAATGGTTACATGATAATCCTGAGATTAACATTACTTAGCAAGTAGTCGAGGAGAAAGATAATGATTGGTACATGACCCAAGAAGAGGAGGATAACCATATATCTCAATACTTCTTGCACAAGGAGAGCAGTGGAATTATGCCACCACCAAAGTGAGATTCATTTACTGATTTAACTCTATTTTAACTTAATGTTTTAAAATACACATTAAACCTAGCTCTCTTTTTAATAATAACTTTAATGGAAAATAATCTAGAATCAGATAAATCTAATCTAAGTCCTCTAGATTTTAGACTTAGATGTAGGAAGAATGAGCACCAAAGCTAATCATCAGGGTATTGTGACAACTACGTTCAAGCCAATATAGTCATTTTATCAAAGGAATATGCAGTTGATTTCCATGAATTCTGTAAGTTAAATCCGAAGCCTTGCCCAGTCTTAGAAGTAATTCCCGCAGGATAAATATAAGCTTAACAATTTTGTCCCAGTGGAATGGATATTAGATTTGATCTTCCCAAATACAAAGTATTTAAACATGGTAAATTTGTTGAGGAAAGAACTCAGATTGAAGATTTATGGCAAGATGACTTCGTTACATTTTTAATTGGATGCTCATTTTCATTTGAATCTGCTTTGTAAGAAGCTGGACTTAAAATTAGACATATTGAAGAAGGAAAGAATGTGCCTATGTTTAAAACTAACATCAAATGCCAAGAATATGGGATATTTAATGGTAGTCTTGTTGTATCAATGAGACCATTTAAATAGAATGATGTTTAAAAAGCAGTAGATATTACAGATTAATATCCTAGAGTACATGGAGGTCCAATTTATTACGGATTAGAATTTGCTGAATAACTTGGGATTTAAGACTTAAATAAACCAGACTATGGTGATTCTATCACTTTAAACGAAGATGATATTCCTGTCTTCTGGGCATGTGGAGTCACTCCATAGAATGTAATTATGCAATGTGATAGTATACCATTAGTCATTACTCATTCACCTGGGTGCATGCTTATTACAGATATTCTCAATGTATCTCTCATAAATTGAGTTAATATGGTTGATATGATTAAATCAAGAAATTAATAATGCATAATTTAAACTATTAAATAATTTGTTAATGCTAATTAAACTTTAACTCAAACTGGGAATAAATCTGCATTTTCATTAAATTAGGAAGTCAGCCACGATTGAGAAGTGATCACTTGGCATTAATGGATGAGGTAAACAATCAATATTGTCCTTGAGATATTTTGAGTAAGCTGGCAGATCAAGCACTCTAACTACATTTATATTCTCACCCTGATAGAAGATAAAATCGACGCAGAGTTTAATGTTGGTATAGCTGGTATAGCATGGCTCTTTTGTCACTATTGACATTCTTTTCAGGAATTCTCTGGTATTCGTATTTGGTTTATACCACTTATAGGCTCCATAAACATCTTCAACTGCTTTATCATAGTAATTCAAATTGTGGTTCGGACTATTCGAGGAATAAGATAGTAGCTCTGTTAGTATTGTATGCTCTGGGTCCTTCTGGTACATATCTAAGTAATCGAAATTCATATTTTCCTACTTTACTTCATTGATGTAATGCACATGATTCAACAAGTTCTAGGCATAGGCAGACTTAAAAGGTCCACACTGATTGACTAAATAGAAGAAATCTCTATCCTTACTGTCAAGAATTTAATGAATCCTCATTCCTGTTTCTTAAAAGCTATCAATTTAGCCTTTTACAGTGGCTAAGTACTATCGGCATGCCTCAGCCTAAGGTCTCTTGAATTTCATATTAATCTATCGAAAAGGTAAGGTATGTTCTAAATTGAATTTTGTTGGTTGATTATTGTCATCAAACAAAAGGAAAGGATAAGTATTGACAAGCTCAGTGTACCATTCACAAATCCTACTCTCTTCTCCTAGTTTTGGCAATTCATCTAAATTATAGCAAGACTTCTAAAGTGCAAATGAGGATATTCTGTCTCTATAAGAGTACGTGCCATGATACTAACCACTTATGCAATTTCTATTTAATTTTAAGCAGTCATACTTTCCTGCTCTCATAAAGTCATATATACCAGATCTAGAACCAGCATTGAAATCACCACAGACTATAGAGATAACTTTCTTATTTAAAATGTTTGTATAATACTCTTTAAGCTAAGATGTCGCGTCTGTAATAATTTTTATCTGAGATAGCTTAGTATCACCTCTGTTGATGTTAAAGTATAAATGAGATGTAGCAACTAGAAGAATCTTATCTGGATGATCTATAGGCTAGAGAACAAGAATTAACGCTACATAAGGCTTAGCGTAAATGTCAGATTCAGGATTGAAATTAAAGCCTATTGGAAATTTCTTGAGCATTATATATTTGTCGGGATTGTAAAATACAGCTACTCCGTCATCTCGATCAAGGGCAGTCTTCTTAAAATACTCTCCTTCCATCTTCATTTACTTATATATAAATTCGTGTAACCCACTGTTTTCCTCAGTCTCTTAGAGACATAAAACATCTGGATTAATATAGGAGATTTCCTTCATAATTTAGGGTAATCTATTAGCCCATTTTAAATTTTCTGGATCAGTAGCATATTCAAAGTTGCCTGTCAATGAAGTAGCTAGAACATTGTAACACATCAGTCTTAGGCCGTTCTTAGCCATTTTGAGAGCACCAGTATCAGGACATTATCTTTGTATAATATTCTATATAGTCTTAGGTATCTAAGAGGGAAACCAGCCTCTGGCATTTTTTAGGAATTTAGTGACATCACCCTTAAAGCTACGAATTCTATCATCCTAAGCATTCTTCACTTCGTAAATTACCTTCTTCTAGAAGGGAGTAGCTTGTGTATTCAACTAAGTAGCTTAAAATGAAGATTCAAGTAGTGAATTTTCTTGGATGAAAGTACTTTATGTATCAATCATATTGGTATCTTGCTGCTAAACAAATTTCGTTTTTTTCTAATATACTTTTCTAGTTTGCTTTTCTTCTTCCATCTTGCTTAATTATTTGCTATTTACAAACAACAAATTTTTTATCAATTAATTCAATTGGGGTTTTGGGGTTTTGGGGTTTTGGGG